ATGTGTTCGACACTTGCATAAAGTGATTTTCAAATCGCAGTTCAGGTTCAACAGATATGTTGGCCAATGGGCCGCCTCTCAATTTGCAGTCAGGTTTCAGTGCGCAGGCGCTCGAAAGGACACAGCGCCCTTTCAAGACTGATCGGCCTCCTGGCCAAGTACTTGCAGGCGAGTTCAGCTGTTGCGTCGGATATTCGGGTCAAAACGCACCCGTGGATTTTTCGTCGTCGTCGTCGTGGGAGGTCCTGGGGCCGATCCTTGGGAATATCACGCCTAAGCGAGGCGCAACTGCTGGAAGACACCCCGCGGCGAGAAAACCTCCAGGAACCAGCGGAACCCCTCCTCCTTCTCCTCCCCCTCCTCCCCCCCTGCTTCCCTCCTCCTCCCTCCTCCCTCCTCCTCCTCCTCCTCCTCCTCCTCCTCCTCCTCCTCATCCTCCTCCTGCTCTCCGCTGTAGCCATTTTGGCTCAAATGGTTGTTGTCCGTGCATAACGCAGAGAATCGTGCGCGGAAGAATTTTCAAGACCCAAAAAATTTCAGAAAAAAAATCCGAAAAGTCAGCCGTTTTGAAATTTTCAGTTTTTTCTGAAAAAAAGGATCTCTGGGTGGACGACACGGACGAGCTGCGCTGGCGGAGCCACAGGAGCCAAGTGCAGGGGCTGCAGCGCACCTCAGACCGGCAATGGGGCGTCCCAGCCCTGACAGCCGCTGGGTGCCCGCCGGACGCAGTGCGCGCCTGGGCGCGCCTCGCGCTCCAGTGGGCCTTCCAGGTAGACCGGACTGGCGGCCTCCAGCCGTAACGGCTCTGCCAGGGCTCCCTGGAGACCGCGGCGCACCTCCTCGCCCAATGCGAGGAGGCCGCAGGCTCGCTGGCAGCCTGGAGCGCCACAGCAGCGCCCCCCCCGGCGCAGCCCGACTGGCGGGCGCGCCCACCCGAGGCGGCGGTGGAGGCGGCGCTCGCCATTCGCGGCCTGGAGCAGCGTTGCCAGCGCTGCGCAGCGTGAGGGGGGGGGGGGGTGGACATGGGCTCATGCCGATGGGCGGGGCCGCAGGGCCGAGGGCGGTGCTGGCGGCGTCTCGGGGAGGGCCGCCAGACCACCCCCAGTACCCTCCAGGAACCCAGCGGCGAGGTCGGGCGCCCGTGCGCTGGCCCCCGGCCATGGAGGGTGGCGCCGAGCGGCTGTGGAGACCCCGCCAGCCGCCCCGGCGATGTTTCAAAGCCCCCGGCCGGCGTGGCCCCGGCGGGGGGGGGGCTCCGCGGCCGGACCGCGGCGTCCCAAAGGGCGCGAAGAAGAAGGAGGAGAAGGAGGAGGAGGAGGAGAAGGAAGGGGAGGGAGGCTTGGTTGAAGCGTTGCGAATCTGAGTACGTATGCCGCTCCGGCCCAAGGAGCAGAGCGCGAGCGGTTCCCCCTGAGATTGCGAGCTCTCTTTTCGAATCATAACCCAATCTGGGGCTTTACAGCGGCAAGAAACGACACGTTTGCAAGGTGCCGCGTCCATGGCCACCTGGCCGAGCGAGCGTGCAAACTTTTTTTGATCTGCCGGGCGAGGGCGGGCCTCTTCCGCTAAAAGCTCCGCGGGACGCGCACAGCTTTAATTGACAGAGAAGGGGCGGGAGCGGGCGGGGCCTCACAGGGCCAGAAGCGGGCGAAGCCTGGGGATCAGGTGGTGCCGAACGGGACGTGCAGGAGAAGGTACACCTTGGACAGGAGCCCGTGGTGAAGTCCCGGGAGGAGAAGGGGTCGGTGGTGTAGCCGTCAGCGGCGCTTCGAGAACACCAGCCCCATGTACTGCGGGAGAGGACGCGCCACTTCACCAGGTCGACGCCCGAGAGGAAAAGGAACACCACGAAGTAGGAGAGCAACGTTGTGCCACCAGAGTGATGCCAGGAGTACCAGACGTGGAAGTCCACTCCAGCAAGCGTGCAAACACGCCCGGCGTCTGCAGCTCAAGGAACAGGGGAGAGGATGGAGGAGGGAGGACGAAAAGGAAGGGCGAAGACGGGGAGGGGGAGGAGGGAAGCTGGAAACTGGATTGGCTTGCCTCCAGGGAGGCAAGTTTTCGAGAACTGTCGCGGGCTGGTAGCGTCATCCACGGGGGAAGCGGGGGCGCCCGCAAGGCTAGGACCAGAGTGAATACCATCAGGTCTGATTGGTAGGTCATCCCTGCAACGTCGGGGGTATGTTGGTGTCCTGTCTATCGCGTTTCGTGTCCTCCCCATATCTTGAGCACGGGTTGCATTCGGAAGAGGCCAGTGTCGTCCTCTCAGATCAGTCCTGGGTCCGACGTAACGTCATAGTAGGAGACTGTGGCGGATTGCGCCGATCATGCGGGTCAGGTGGGGCATTCGCACGATGCCTTCTGGTCGCTTATGCCAGCGCCCTCATCTGATTCCTCATCCCCATCTTCCTCCTGATACGCACCATCTCCCCCCGAACTCCACGAGTTCCCACCGAAGTAATATTGTTTTTGTTGCGGATTGAAGCGCAGAGCAAGCGGGGTGGTCGAAGAAGGTGCGGTAGAGGGTATCGACTGGGCAACTTCTTTCTGACGGCGGGCCAGCCTTGGCGCATTCCTGATGATTGTAATATGAGCGAGGAGCTCCGTCCAGACAGCTTCATCCAGGGCAGAAGTGGAGTACATGATCATGTATAATTTGTCGAGCGTTTTCCCGATGTCTCTATCAACAAAGTTTTCAGACGGATGGGCCGCGAGAGCCAGGAGTCCTTACCCAAGGATCCCTCACCCAACGTACGCCACGAATGCAGAAGCTGTCATCACAGCAGGTGCCCCACTGGAAACGTATTTCGACCAGCGTTGAGTCCAACCAGATGTGGTGTAGCATGGAGCCCGCAGAGCGGGAGCCACGGCGTACTCTGATGCCTGCCGCGGTCAGGCGAGGCTTCCCTGGAGGGCCAGATGGCACTGGTGAAGCAGGGAGGGCGCGCAGCCCGCTAAAGAACTTGGTATTGCGATGCCGGCCGCAGTCGGGCGAAGGCACCTTGGAGGGTCAGATGGCACTGGTGGGGCTGGTGAAGTGGGGAGGGCACGACACCGTGTTGCGATGCCTGCCGCAGTCTGGCGAAGGCACTTTGGAGGGCCGGGTGGCACTGGTGGGGCTGGTGAAGTCGGGAGGACGTCAGCTGGTCAATCATTCGGTATTGCGGTGTCTGCCGCAGTCTGGCGAAGCCTCCTTGGAGGGCCGGGTGGCGCTGGTGAGGTGGGGAGGGCACGAAACACGACACACAATTTGGATTGCGATGCTTGCCACGTTCTGGCGGGGCCTCCCTGGAGGGCTTGAGGAGGAGGAGGAGGACGACGACGACGAGGAAGGTCGAGGAAAGGAGAGGATGCTCTGGTAAAACAAGGACCCCAGTGAGGATGAGGGGAACAAACCGGTCTTTGCAATTGCGGTAAGCGTTTGAGGTGAATGTGCGCGGCGCTAGGGCGAGAGCACCATTTCGAAAAGGACTCATCTCAATCCGTGTGTGGTTAAAGCATGAGAAGATGCATGTGCGCGGCGCTAAAGCGAGAGCCCCATGTTGAACAGCAGTCGCCCTCCATCCGCACTGCTGTTGCAATACTTTCAGGCGGATGCGCGCGGCGCTAAGGCGACAGCCCCATCTTGAAAAGGAGCCGCCCCCCATTCTTGCAGCTGGTGCAATCTTCTCAGGCGAATGTGCGCGTCGCTAAGAGGCGGGAGCTTCATTTTGAAAATGACTCGCCCTCCATCCTTGTAGCTGCTGCAAGCTTTCAAGTCAAGTTCAAGTCCGCGTGGGCCTAAGGCGAGAGCTCAATGTTGAAAGCGACCCCCTGCATCCTTGTAAGTAGTGCCAGCTTGTCAGACGAATGTGCGCGGGGCTAGGGCGAGAGTTCCATGTTGAAAGCGGCCTGCGATCTACGCTTAGATTTCGTGCAAGCGTGTAAGGCGAATGTGTTCGGCGCGGAGGCGACAGCACTACTTGCAACACGGCCTGTGCTCCGTCCTCGTAGCAGTTGCAGCTGTCAAGCTTCGGGGCTATAAGCGGTGGGGAAGTCTCGGGCGAAACGCCCTGCTCGCCCTGTTGACGCGTGTCGGGGTGCGGCATGGGGGGGGGGAGTTGCACGTAAGGACAAGGATTGCACGGAGGAGGAGGAGGACGACGAGGAGGAGGAGAACGAGGCGGCAAGAGGAAGAGAAGGAACATGAGGAGAAGAAACAAAAAGGGAGGAGGAGGCAAGACGGGAAGGAAAGGAGGAGGAGAAGGAGGAGGGGGATGTCGCCTGCAGGCTGTATCTTTTGTTGTGAGAGCCTCTCGGAGGACTCTTGGAGCCATCTTGGGGTGCTCATGGGGCCCAATTCGAGTCCTCTTGGAGCTGTGCTGGGGCCCTCTCGACGCTCTATTCGGGCTGGGTGTCCTCTTGAGGCTCTTAAGGCTCTTCGAGTGAGTCTTGGTGCCATCTGTGGCCCATGGCTTAAAGGGAGGTTCATAAATCTGAGTCCCTTCCAGGGAGGCTGAAACATTGCCTCTTCGGGCCCTCTTGGGGCGCTCCATCTTGGGGCCATCTTGAGGCCAGAGGCCCAGCGGAAGCGAAGGGGCGAGAAGGTAGCACTGCTTACTTCCCTTTGCAGGTGTTGGTGCGATCTTCAAGTGTCTGTGGGGGCTCCAGAGTTTCTGAGGGCCGCCTTGGGGCCTCGCGGAGAAGTGTTGGAGGCTGGCCATCTTGGAGGCCATTATGTTGCATCGGGGGCCCTCTTGGAGCCACCTTGGTCCAACAAAAGGGCTCCCTGACGATCCGCAGGGGCTCCCGTCCAAGATCACCGGGAGAAGACCGAGGAAGGGGACCCCCCCTCCCCGGGAAGAAGGGGTTGCGTGGAAAGAAGGGATGCCGCGTATAACAGTCAAGACGCTAGAATAAGGAACAGTTTGGGTTCGGAAGGGGCTCGATGTTCCTTAGGTCCTTCCATGGTTGTTCTTCCAGCTCTCCTCGTGAACGAAGGCGGCTTTGGGGGCCCAGAAGGGGCTTCGTTCCTTATTTACAGTAGGGTTCCTTAATTCAGCGGCCCGGCTTTACCACCTTCGCCCACAGGGCTGGTGTGATTTGATCGTTGGCTGAGGGGCGCCTTGACACACGCTGGCTCGAGTGTTCGTCCCGAACCTTCTCGGCCCGGCTCGTAGCGGCAAGACAGGGCAGTCGAGCAACATGGGATGTGGTAGTGGAGGACTTGGAGCGCATTCAGTGCGCCCGCTGATCCAACGCATGCCCTCCAGGCAGGTATCATCCGTGCCGCTAGTGCTCATATGTTGTGACAGCATCATTTGTTGATTGCCAGGGCATCCAGGAGCGGAGGCAGAGGGAGTTGAGTACAGCAGCGCTTTGCTGCAGCAGGGCAGTGAGAGAACATGTCGAGTCCATGTGGTCGGCCTCCGTTGAGAGGCCATGCAGGCCAGACGAGAAAAGATACAATGGTGGCCGCGGACGTGCCGAGGCACCGCGCGGGCTTATCCCAACTTCGGCGCATAGCACGTACGCGGCTGCTCGGCACAGAGTGGCCTCCTCTTTGGGCGACGCCGGCTCTACGGCAGTGAAAAGCCGTAGCCAGGCCCATTCCAGGTCCAAGACTCGTGTGTAGTGTTTCCTGGCGGTGGCTGGCAGACAGTGGTTGACCAACAATCCCAGCCCTCCGCCAGCTCGAAGAGCCCAGAGAGATCCCAAGCTTCCATCATCCGTCCAGGGCGGATGGTGGCAAGTCTTCAGAGCGGAGGCCAACACTTCCATCTAGCAGGTTCTGGAGTCACCGCGCTCTCAGCAGGGCGAAGAGGATCGACACCATGTTCTTCGTCCCGCCTTCGGTTCGAGACCTCATGATTGTCTGTGCGGCCGCACCGGTGCCGACAGCGGCCTTTTAGAAGGCCTGAAGAGGCTCACGCTCGCCCAGCGCCAGCCCAAAGTATTAAGCCCGCAGGGCGGGAGTCACGGCGGGCCCCCAGGGAGAAGCTTGCACGCAGATTTTGCAACCAGCGGGTGTTAGGGATACTGCCTCGACGAGGGTCGGTACTAATCGCTGCAATGTTTCTTTGGGGCGTCTTTGCGCCCCTTGGGTGATTAGGCGGTCCTGGAGGCCAGCTAAGGGTCTTTTGAGGTGTACCGACTTGAGGCTCCAAGCATCTGTCTCGGGGGCTAGCCGAGCGCCCAACATTCACGAAGTGTGAGGGGTGTGCTGAGTTGAGGTCCCCATCAAAATGGAAGGGCTACTCACGCATATCATTACGTCTCCCAGAAACCTGGAGGCCCAATTTACAAGTTTTTGACGTGTTCCAGAAGCCTGTGAGCGCAGATCACTCGTGTTTTCACGTGTCCCAGTAGAGTGTGGAACAGGAAATGCGTGAGGGGTGTCTAGATTTGAGCCCTTCGTGGCCCTCGGAGCGCAGATCATTCGTATGCTCACATGTCCCAGTAGAATGTGGAGCAGGACATGCGTGAAGGGTGTACCGACATGGCAGTATCGTAGCCATGAAGGCGTTGCTCACTCGTGTTTGCACGCGTCGCAGAAAATTGTCAGAGAGGGATTGCGTGATGGGGCACTCAGACACATCGCTTTTGCAGCCCTGAGGGCGCATCTCACTTGTGCTTCTAGTGTCCCAGGAGCCTAGCGCTGAGAGCACGTTTCACTCGTATTTCTTGGTGCCCACAGGAGAACTGGAGGAAAATGCCATCTCGAGGCCAGCGAAATGCGCGAAGCCGCTCTAGCACGCATTTACGCACTCAGTCTCACTCTCCTCGATCATCCTTCATCCTCCATCTTATCTTCTGCCTTCGGAGCCTACAACACGGCCAGGGCCCGCAGGGGGCCCGCCGAATTGAATTGAACGCCCCTGAGGGGGCAGACACCGCCGCGCCACTGTTTGCCGGAACCCGGAGTTTCTTTGCGGGGGGGGGCCATGGCGACCCTAGAGGGTCCAGAAAGACTCGGAAGGCGGCGTAAGAGGCAGACAAGAGGCTCCAGGGGCGCGGGTGGTGGTGGTGGTAGTGTGTTGCTGCCACAGGCCGGCGGCCGTCGCTGTTTGTGAACGTGGGGAGTTTGGGAGGCGTGGTGGAGGAGAAGGAGGGGAGTTGAAAAGATACTAGAGTGCGGGAGGGACGGGGATCGAAGACGGCCCCAGAGGGTCTCCAGAAACTCCACTGAGCTTGCGCACCAGAAGGCGAGAGGGGGGTCTGAGACGGCCCCTGTTCCAACCTGGCGCGGAGTTTGGGCGAGGGGGCGAAGACGACCCCAGAGGGTCGAAGAAGATGCCGAGAAGGGTCCGAGGAGGCCACGAAAGGGCCCGAGCAGGCTCGGCAGACGGCCCAAAAGGGCACCCGAAGGCATCGAAAGCGGCGGAGCGAACCAAAGAGTGGTACGGAGAGCCAGAGGGGAGCACTCCCACGAATTTCTGGGGCCGCAGCAGGCTCTCCAAGGGCCCCCCCGAGGGCGCGGCGAAGGCGGCCTAAGGAGGCACCAAAAGGGCGGCCAAAGTCAGGAGGGAAAGAAGCACACAGACACAATTAATCGTCGATGTCCCAGAAAATATGGGGAAATATGGGAAGTGGGGGGGAAGACGAGAGCCCAGAAAATATGGGAAATTATGGCGGATCCTGGGATTTGTGTCTATTTCCCAACATCCTAAGGTGTTTTTTTGTTATTACTTGGACGCCTCCTACTCCTCCTTCTCCCTCTTCACCTTCTTCTCCTCCTCATCCTCCTCCTCCTCCTCCTCCTCCTCCTCATACCCAGACTTACATACACTCAGATTTACTCATACCCAGACATACTCAGACACAAACTTACTCATATTCAGACCTACTCATACTCAGACCTACTCTTACTCAGAGTTACTCATGCTGAGACTCACTCATGCCGACTCATGCCCACACTAACTAGTACTCAGACTTGTTCCCAGACTTACTCATACTCAGACCTGCTCGTATTCAGACCTTCTCATTGTCTCTTTTTATTCCACACACACAGCAGATTATGAGGATGTCTCAGGCGGGGCGCTGGCTTCAGCCCCCCTAAGGGGAGCCGCCAGGGGTATTTTTACGGTCCCGCTCGCAGCAATTTGGTGGGGATGTCTCAGGCGGTTTGCTGGTTTTCTGTCCCAACATCCTGGGCTATCCGAGCAGACTGTGAGGATGTCTCAGGCGGGGGGCTGGTGTCAGCATCCCTAAGGGGGGCCGCCAGGGGTATTTCCACGGTCCCGTTCGCAGCCGTTTTGTGGGGATGTCTCAAGCGGTTTGCTTGTTTTCTGTCCCAACGTCCTTCGCTATCGGAGCAGATTTGGAGAATGTCTCGAGCGAGGCGCTCATTTTCACCCCCCAGGTGGGCCAGATTTTGAAGATGTCTCGATCGGTTTGCCTGTTTTGGTGGCCAGGCTCGTGGGCGCAGATTTTTCAGGATGCCACAGGAGGTTCCAACAGGCTCCAGGAGGCCCCAGGAGACCACATGAGGTCCCAGGAGGCATCAGGAGGCCACAGAAAGACTCAAGAGGCCACAAGATGTCCCAAGAGGCTCCAGGAGGCCCCAGGAAGCTCCAGAAGGCCTCAGGAAGCCACAGGAGGCCCCAGGAGGCCACAGGAAGCGCCAGGTCGGACCTGTCGACCACGTGGACGCGCTCTTATAGTCAGGCATTCATAGAGAAACGTTCACTATGGCATATCATAAAACATGAGATGCACATATGGAGAGCTCCACGCAGTGAGTAATTATTTGCGTGTCCCAGGGCCCCTTCACAGACGGCTAAAGATGGATCCGGGAGACCTTCAGGACGGCCCGGGAGGCCTTGTAGAGAGTCGAACGAGACCGGAGAGGCCCCAAGAGTGGCGCAAGATGCTGCAAGAGAGCTCCAAGAGGCGCAAGGAGGAGGCCGAGAAACGGCGAAGATCATCAACATCTTGAGGATTTTTGGAAGCTTTTTGGCTTCGGGGCCCGCCGAATTGAATCGCTTCGCTCATTCCGCCGTCCCGCACAGTGCCATTGTTGCCGCGTGCCCGTCTGGTCGTAGCGATTGGGAAGGTGTTCGTGCGCTCGTGGCCAACGGGAGATTTCTGGGCAATCGATGGCTTTTCGGCCTCTCTTGGGACCAAACTTGGTCGCGGACCAGATGCCTCTTTGGGAGGCTTCTCGGGGTCTCTTCGGAGGCCTCTCAGAGGCTTCTTGGCAGCAGTGGACCAGATGCCTCTTTAGGAGGCTTCTTGGGCTCTCTTCGGAGGCCTCTCGGGGGTTTCTTGGCGGCATTCTGTGACCTCGTGGGGCCTCTTGGGGGCCTCTTGCGGTAGCTTTTTGGGCCTCCATGGGCCTCTTCGGGGTTCTGGGAGGGCCTGCTGGCGGGCTCGGGCGCCATGTTTCGAGGCAGGCTCGACCTTTGAGTTTGGATGCCCCCTCTTTGGGGCCTTCTCAGGGGCTTCCTGGCCGCTGTAATCTAGTTCTTTGCTGGATCTTACTGACGGCGCGCGGCTCGCCCGCTTGCGCTCGCGAACAAAAAGTAACCTCACCAGCCAATCCAGAAACGATGCCCAGAGGAGTTACCTTGATCAGGGATGTGGAGGAGCATGCAGCGCAGTGGAATACAGGGCTGGGTAAGACGTCATACTCCAAGAGGGGGAGGATGAAGGAGGAATCGGATGAGGAGGAGGAGGAAGAGGAGGAGGAGGAGGAGGAGGAGGAGGAGAAAGGAGGAGGAGGAGGAGGAGGAGGAATAGGCGGATCTTGAGCGCGTGCGCCTATGTTTAGATTGCGGGTCTCACTTAGGTTGTCAGTTCGGAGCTTCCTGTTCGCTGTGTGTGTGATGATGATGAGGAGGAGGAAGAGGAGGAGCAGGAGGAGGAGGAGGAGAAGGAGGAGGAGGAGGACCAGTTTAAACCCAATGGTCATCAACGATGTTGGAATACACCCCCTCTCCAAGCTCCCTCTTCATTGGCTCCTACAACGGTTCATTTCCACTGAGGAAGCTGCCTCGTTGAAAGACGACAGCTGGAAAACCCTGAAGAATGGCAACACATTGTTCTCGGGAATCCAACGCCACGGATCATCCTGACTGTTGCGTCTTGACAGTCCTGAGTCGTGTCAGAACGCCATTCTTGGGACGTCAGCACCGCGAATCACGCAATGTTGCGCCCGCATAACCTTGAATCCTTACAAGAACAAGATATATGGTACGCTGATCATGGGCATCCGTGAAACTCGTGCAAATATTAAACGAATGCGCGCGACGCTCAGGCGAGAACCACATTCTTAAAAGGAACCGCCCTCAACCCGCGAATCTCTTGCACATTCTAGGAACGAATGTACGCGTCGCTTAGGCGAGGGCCATTTGAAAACGGCATGCCTTCAATCCGTGAAACTCTTGCGATTTGTTTAAAAGAATGTGCGCGACGTTAAGGCGAGAGCCACATTTTGAATACGACCCGCCCTCAATCCGCGAAGCTCCTGCAAATGTCAAAAACGAATGTGCGCGGCGCTAAGGCGAGAGCCACAGTTTGAAAACGACCCTTCAGGGTCATAAGCGGTGAGGAAGTCTCAGGCGAAACGCCTGGCCCGCCCTGAAAACTGGCCTCGGGGTGCGACAGGGACAAGTGAGTTATAAGAAGAGGAACGGAGGAGGAGGAGGAGGAGGAGGAGGAGACGAAGGAGGAGGAGGAGGAGAAGGAGGCGGAGGAGGAGGAGGAGGAGGGGAGCCAGGAGGATGGGGAGCCAGGAGGAGGAGGAGGAGGAGGAGAAGGAGGAGGAGGAGGAGGACGAGGAGGAGGAGGAGGAGGAGGAGGAGAAGGAGGAGGAGGAGGACGAGGAGGAGGAGGAGGAGGAAAGGCTAGAAGCTTCTTGGATGTTTCTAGGAGTCTTGAGATGTCTCTTGGCAGGTTCTTGTTGGCCTCTGGGAGTGCTTGGGAGGCCTCGGGGTAGCCTCTTGGGGCCTCTGGGGTGCTTCGGGGGAGCCACTTGGGCACCTCTTGGGGGCCTATTGGGGCCTCCTGGGCGTCTCTTGGGGCCTGTTGGGCCAGCGAATTCGCTCTCGCTTGAGCGCTCAGGGCTCGGTCAGAGCCTACGCATCGTCAGTTCGAAAAAGTGCGAAGCGAAACGTTGATGTTGATACTTGGCCCTTTGCTGTTCGTGCTTCTACCTTAGTTCGCTCCACTGTTGCCTTCCACAGCATCATATCGCCAGACTCACCTATTCTCTGCATGTTTGCAGTCTTCCTCGCGAGTCCCGTTCATGGCGACCCTGTGGATGCCAAGTTTCGAATGATTGCACGTTCTTCCCACGTTCTGCGACATGTTGAAGAGTAAGGTACATGGTGTGAAGCGTCAGTGCAGTATTGTAGTATGTGTGTGTGGAAGTGTGACAGTGTGTGTGTGCATGTAAGTACACACACACACGCACACTCAAGTGGGTACCTGCAGAAGGCGGCAAACTGTAATCTAGGTATGTTGTGCGAATCGTGGTAGTGGCACCTCGCTGGGTCTGCTCCACAAGGACCTCCACCATCTCCACAACGTATCATTCGATCTCTTACCCAGCTGGCGCGTCCTTATTACAGTCTCTCTCCCTCGGCGCGATTCCCGAGCTTTCCTGGCACACCAGGCTGGCGGCCGTTTGATAGAGAGGCCGTGGGTTGCAAGACAGAGACAGGTAGGCGGTGTTTGAGAGGTTGGTGAGCCGAGGTACTACGCAAACTACACCTCCCAGATGCGCAAAGCCATCGTTGAGGATCCGTTGCCGCTGCAACTGGGCCTTGAATGCCCACGCAATGTGGCTACGCCGAGCGATTTGTGACATTTGGTAGTCCTTCTCCTCCCTTTTTGGGGTGGGATTCTATGGGAGCATGAGCGAATCAGGGAAACGTTGCATGAAAGACTCAGACGGATTTGGCGGACTTATGTGCGCGCAGTTTGAATTTCGTCTTCTCCTCCATGTGCCTGTTGTTCGTGTTGTTCGTTCGGCGTCTTCTGTCTTGTCTCTCCGTCACGCTGTTCCTCTCGCCTCGCGGGTTGCACATCGGGAGCACGTAAAGTCTTGGCGTGGTTTGGTTTGCGCTGCTTGTTTGCCGTGCCGGTCTCTCGTCTTGGAAGCTTTTTAGGGGGCCTTTTGGGGAGCGTTTGTGGGGCTTCTCGGGGCCTCTTGGGGGCCTCTTGGAGGCTTGTTTGAGGCTTCTCAGAGGTCTCTTGGGGCCTTTGGAAGCGTCTCCTGTGGGCCTCTGGAGCCTCTTGGGGTTATCTTCGGGAGAGAGGCTCTCAAGGCCAGTTCGATTTAACCCTCTTGGGCCCCTCGAGGTGCCCCCTTGGAGGCCTCTGGGGCCGTCGTGGGGGCTCCGTGGGCCGTTTGGATGGCCCTCTGAGATCCTCTGAGACCGTCATTGGCCCGTCTTGGGGCCCTCTTCGACTGACTTGGGGCGATCTAGGGGCCTTTTGTACTGTTCCACACGGCTTCGCGGGGAACACGGCCAGACAAGCCTTTCGTCCGCTCTTTGGACGTCTTGTGAATCTTTTGGGTTTGATTTGAGGCTGTCTGGGGGGTCTCTTTGGCGCCTTGGGCCGTCTTGGGGACATCTTGGGGGAGCATGGGGGCCCGACTGGGCCGCATTGACGCCCTCGTCGACCGTCCGAGGCCTCTCTGGAGGCCCTCTCGGAGTGTTCTGGGGCCCTTCTTGGACGGTTCGTGGCCCGCTGCCCCTTAATAGAACCGGCCCTGTGGCTTTTGCTCCTCCGTCGCAGCCTGGCCGTGGGTTCCTCCTGCATCGCGGGGTGCGCTTCTGTAACACATGGATCGGAGGTTGACAGACCTAACCTGACACGTCGAACAGCGAATTGGCCGTTTTCGGTTCGCGAGAGGGCGTCGCGGCCGTCATTGGGGCCCTCTCGTGCCGTCTTTCGGGCCGGTCTGGGAGGCCTCTTTGGTCATCCTGGGCTTCCAGAAGCCCCGAGCGGCGAGAAGGGGTTAATCTGGGAAGTTCAAGCCGGAAGCAATGATGTGTGCCTCTGGAAGCAATATTTGGGCCCCTCTTAGGGCCCTCTTCGGGCGTCTTGGTGGCCTCTGGGGCCGTCTTGGGGCCATCTTGTGTCGTCTTGGAGCCTCCAGGGTGCCTTTGGAGGTCTGGGTCATCATGGAGGCCTCTTGTGGTCCTCTTGAGGAGCCCTTGGCCATTGCCCCCGTAAAGCGCACAGTTTGGGGCTCGGTCAGGGGGCCGAATAATCCCGCACGCCTCGAGACCGCAGAGGGGGCGGCGGATGACATCGTTCGTACAGAGAGCTGCACAGGCCCAGCCTCAGCTCATGACGCCAGTCGTTCACTGAGCCGCCGTGCTCAGGCCGCGCAATCATGTGCTCTCGTTGCTGCTAGTCTGCCGCATTCTGCTGCCAACGTAGCGTGCGCGCTGGAAAAGGGAAGGACGGCATTGACATCCGCGGCTACTTCGCATGGTCGTTCATGGACAATTTCGAGTGGGAGCAAGGAGCTTGTCAGCAACCCGCGCTTTGTGTTTGCACGTTCTGCCGTGTGCTGTTTGACTCTGGCACTGTGAGCAAGCATGCAGAAGGAACGCATCCACCACTTCCTAGGCGCTCCAAGCCAGGGGGTGAAACCTGGTGGTTCCAGGGATTAGCAATAACTTAGCAGCAGTAAGCTGCGAAAATAGGCGTTTATGTACTGCTCCCTTCAAACATGTGCGTCTCCAGCTCACGTCGTCCGAACACGTGGTGGGCCCCAGTCTGGATCATCCCTACGCGGCCTCGTCTTGATCGTGCGACTGCGGGGAATAGCTGGGAGTTGTTTGATACGGCTGGATGGTTCTTCATTATGTAGTGCAGGTGTCGGAAACAATCAAGCAACAATCATGCAGAACACATGGTTTGAACTCGCCCCCCCTCACCCCCAAATGCAATGTTGGTTTCGGATCTTCCGATTTGGGGCCTCCAAGTGGTCTTCAAGGAACGTGCCAACTTTGAATTGCGGGGGAGGGGGGGAGTGTTGCTTAAGTTCTTTCCTCAGCCGTATGATCAGTTACAGAGCGACACACTTCACCAAACTCACTAGCTGCACGAGCGGCGGCAGCTCTAGGCCAGAACGGTACAGATAACCACTGCACGCCGCTGTGGATCGGATATCGTGGAACGTCGTTGCGAATTCAATCCTTATGATGTGGTGCTAAGGCTTCGCGCATGAAACGTAAAGCTCGATGTCGGAGCGGTGTAAAGAACCACTGCGCGCTGCTTTGGATCGGATATCGTTGAATACCGTTGCGAATTCATTCATCACACTTGGGTGTTGAGGCCGCAGACGTGAGAACTGAGCAAAGGCCCCACATGCTTGCTGTGTGCAAGCACCTTCAATATCAGCCTGCATCGACTCCGCGCATGCGGGCGATCGCCTTCAGCGGAACATACCTCAATGTTGCTCGAGCGCGTGTGCAGTGATCACATGGAATGCGTACCTGCATGAAGCTATGGTTGCTTTCGCACAGGATACATAGAAAGGTTTGGAGTCACGTTCACGGACTACAACAAGGGCGAGGACTTGTGATTGACGTTTTTCGGTGATCATTGCGCCCAAATGTTGCGCACATCCCTCTTTCGTTGGAAGCCTCTGGGGGAAATCTTTCTACGTTGTGCGCAAGCCCCGCCTGATGATACAGTTCGTTTTCTACATATAGCGAGATTGTTGTGATGGCGCCTGCCTTGCACAGTCTGTTTGTGACCTTTAGAGCCTTGGTCCTCGAGCCATCCGTTACGGCTGAAATCCTTGCCTTGGGGCCGAGGGCAGGTGGCACACGTGGTGAATTGATTCCCACCGTTTGCCAAATGAAGCGTTCTGGAAACGGCCTCGCCTTCGAGGATCGAAGGAGTTGATATCTCTTCCTCGGCGGAAGGCGGCGGAAGTAAAATCAAGCCCCCCAAGAGTTGCCAATTGTGTTGGCTTCAGGGTCTCTGGAAATCGCCAAATGCTTTTCACAGTTCGCTTCAATATCTTTGGCTCTTTGGGCCATTCACAGACGCTGGCACGACTGCGGCGTATCGTAGTCATCAGTATCCTTGAGGGTGATCCAGCGTTGCGCCGATTGAGTTGCTAAGACGTTGACATGACCTGATAATCAGACATTGGGCGTCATGTACAAATTCACTCCCAAATCCTCAACGCGTGTGGCTTGCGATGAGCTTGGTTCTTTTGTCACCATGTTCACTGCCGACCGAACCCCCGGGGCGATCTTCAAGCGAAGCGATTTGGTCGCAGATCTGTTCCATCTCCGAGGCATAGCACGGAGCTTCCTGGTCATATTGCATGATGCCACCGCAGCGCTTCAGCAATGTAAGCACATGCCCTTGGGATGGCGATTGGTTCGTGTTTGATGTAATGCACTCTCTGAAGGACGCTCGAGGTCCCACCAAGAACAACTTGTCGCAACCCACGGTTGGCGGGGTGCCATGCGCAGACACTGTGGGGAGACGTCGCGAGACTCAGGTTTTGTTTTCGTGTGAGTCCATCTGGAGGAATGGCATGGACCATTTGCTGGCAACGGAGGAAGAGTAGGAGGAGGAAGAGGAGGAGGATGAGGAGGAGGAGGAGGACGACGAGGAGAAACGCGACACTTGTTGTTGCGAAATAGCATTAAGTAGTGAACGGAAGGGCGATGAGATCTATCGCCGCCATGTCCATACTCTCCCAGTCGGACCGATCGGCCGGGGCCACCGGGCCCAGAAAAAGGGAGACGCGACCGTCGTGTTCTCGCGCGGCGCCTGCACGCGAGGGGTGGAAGAGGGAGGATGATGAGGAGGAAGAGGATGGGGAGGATGGGGGAGGGCTAGGAGGCGGATGAGGAGGAGGAAGAGGAGGAAGAGAAAGAAGGAGGAGGGAGGAGGATGAGGAGGAGAAGGAGGAGGAGGAGGAAGGAGGAGGAGGATGAGGAGGAGGAGGAGGAGGAGGAGAGGATGAGGAGGAGGAGGAGGAGGAGGAGAGGGAGGAGGAGGAGGAGGAGGAGGAGGAGGAGGGGAGAGGAGGGGGAGGGGGAGGGGGAGGGGGAGGAGGAGGAGGGATGAGGAGGAGGAGAGGAGGAGGAGGAGGAGGAGGAGGAGGAGGAGGAGGAAGATGAGGAGGCGGAGGGTGGGGTCCTCCTGACCGGGTGTGTGTGTGTGTGTGTGTGTGTGGATTGTTTGCATCCTGCGGTCCTGTGTAGGGCCGTGATCGAGCGCGCCGCACCCTGGAGACTCGCCCCGCCGCGCAGCCAGGCTGGGGCTAGACAGCTCTGACAGCCCGGCGCGCCCCACACTCCGCGAGGGGCGAGGGATGAGTTTTTGATCCTCCTTACTCATCCGTCCTTCGCCCTCCTCCCCATTCCGGGGGTGGATAGACCTCCTACCCTGACACGTCGATTAGCGAACTTGCCGTTTTCGGTTCGCGAGATGGCGTCGCGGCCGTCATTTTTGCGGGTCCAGGTCCGTCGGTTTCGGTCCCAGGCCGCTTTCACTAAATGGTGGTTTGCTAAAAGGAGGGTTGTCCGCCGCCGACTATCCGCATCCATCCTTTGGGGGGGTCCCTCTCCCTGAGGGGGCGGGCGGGCGGACCCTCTCAAGGGCCCTGCCTCGGCAGGGTGCACTTCGATCCGATCGATCCGAGTCGACATCGATGCCAGCCGGCCCGATCCGACTCGATTCCGGTATTCTGGCGATCGAGTGTGGCCCGATGTTTGCATGGCGCCGTTGTGGATCCTGGCGAGGCTGGTCCGACTCGACGCCGACTCCGTGCCGAGCGCGGCCCGATCCGACGCACATTCCGATCCGATCCGATCTCCCGATGCGGTGCTGATTGGTCCTGCCTCGCGCGGCGGGGTCGGGCGGCTGGCATGCCCTCGTAATTCCGTCTCTAGCGTCGACTGGCGTCGGCTAGCGTTTGGTAACCGATGGGGCAGCGCCGATTTAGCTTCGATTCGCGTAGATTTCGCGTCGACCAGCGTCGAGCCAACAAGATGGTATGGGAGGCTCCTATGGGTTGCCACCGAAACCTCGGAAAGTCGAGTCGAGTCGAGCGGACCTATCGGTATTGGGTCGGGCTCTGTCGGGTCGGGCCGGGTGGAAGTTTACTTTCGTGATGGGGTCAGGTCGTGGCGGGTGGACCTTGAATCGAGCGGCGGTTTTTTTTAGGGAAGTGGGGTGGGAGAGAAGAAAAGAGGATCGATGGAGGCGGAAAGAGCAAGGAGGATGGAGAGGAAAGAGGAGGAGGAGCATGACGGGGAGGAACATGTAGGCGTAGGACGAGGATGCAGAATATTTGAAGCACCTAGGGGCTTGAAACTCAGAAGATTCTCATCCTCACAACTCTTGATTAGGGGAATATGAGCTGCATAATCGTTCAAGCACTCAAGAAAGTGTGTGCTGGAGGTGCGTGTTCTATGAAGGACTCAGGTTTTGGAGGAGTCCGTGGTAGGTCGAAAGGCCAGTTTCGCCCGCTGACCTCAAACGCGGGAGCCATTGCTATTGAGGTCGAGGGTCCAGCCACGTAGCTTCACACACAAGGCCATCCTTGTCAAAACTTCTGGTGAGCGTCAAGGCACAAGCCTCGATCGAGCAAAAAACGGCCGCACTGAACGGGGGGATCGTTCTTCAGGGAGACGGCTCGACAAGTATCCGCGCCACGAGGCCATACATCTGCCGCGCATTCAAGAGCAATGTGAGACCTCTCGGCCCCGTCATTTCGATAACATTCTCGTTTCTGAGAGGGGAGGAGAGAGAAAGAGAGAGAGAGAGAGAGAGACGGAGAGATCGCGCGGGTCTGACGTCCTCCTGGGGGCGTCTCGCCCGACCAGCAGGCAGCCACGCGACCACGGAGGTCTCGCGAAATGTCAGCAAGGGGAGGGGTGGCGGGGCGCCAGGCTGGCAAGCAGGTGCGCATCCGGAAGGACTGGCGGCAGCCCCCCCGCGGGCCTTTGCTGGAGCTCTGCTCTTCTCCCCCATGCGGGGCTCAAACCTGTACACCACCACCGCCTCCCTCCGCCCACCCCGTCTCCCAGGACAGAGAAGAGGAACCAGAGGCTGGAGGAGGGGCGGGGGATAAGGGTGGTGGTGGTATATTCTTGACACCCGGGGCCCAAACCTATACTATACACCACCACCGCCTCTCTCACCCCCCCTCTCCCAGGACAGAGAATAGGAAGCAGAGGTTGGAGGAGGGGAGGATGACGAAGGTGGTGGTGGTGTAGATTCTTGGCGCCCAGGGCCCATCCAAACATATACACCACCACCGCCTCCCTCGCCCCCCCCCCTCTCCCAGGACAGAGAAGAGGAAGCAGAGGCTGGAGGAAGGCAGGGGGGAGGAAGGTGGTGGTGGTGGTGGTGGTGGTGGTGGTGTAGATTCTTGGCGCCCCGGGCCCAAACATATACACCACCACCGCCTCCCTCACCCCCCCCCTTCTCCCAGGACACAGAAGAGGAAGCAGAGGCTGCAGGAGGGGAGGGGGGAGGAAGGTGGTGGTGGTGTAGATTCTTGGCACCGGCCCCCCCCCCTCAACCCTCGGCACTGGGGCGCCGCGGAGGTACTTTCCTTCGGGCGGCTCCGCCCCGCTGCGTGCCCTGGTGGCTCTCTCGATGCGGCCCGCTGCAAGTCCCCGCAGGGGGGTGCGGATTTCTCGCGAGCTCCGGTCGTGCTGTCTGTCGCCGCACCTTTGTGAGTTGTGCCGTAGCCTCGATGGTATCGGAGTCCCGCCCCTGCTTTCCACCCTCTCTCTGCCCCAGCCTCCCTCTTCCCTCCCCGCCATGGCTTCCGGGGCCTCTCGTTCGGTAGCAGATCACGGAAGCCTGGTTTACCCTCTCGATTCCATTTTTGGCGTCGACTGGCGTCGATTAGCGTTTGGGAGTTGACGAGGAAGCGCCGATCCAGCGTCGATCAGCGTCGACTTAGCGTCGATTTAGCGTCGATTAGCGTCGACTAGCGTCGATTGGCGTCGTTTCGCAAGAGCCGACGAGATGGTATGGGAGGCTCCCCATGCGTTGCCACCCAGGTATCGAAGTCCCACCCCTTCTTTCCACCCCATGTCCTATCTCTTCCACAGTCTCCCTCTTCCCTACCCCCATGGCCTCCACGGTCTCTCGTGCCAGCGGGCGACTCGGTGACATGGAAGCCTCGAGCTGATCTCAGTGCGCGTGCAGCGCCGGCATCGTCGGGTTGGAGGTGCCCCGCTGTCCAGAACCACGTGCCCGCCGCACGGTTTCTCCAGGGAGAGTACAAGCTTATTAGATTGCGCGCTTGCTTGCTCGGTCAATGTATGGAGAAACTGCATATCTATTATGAGGCCGTACATGCATCGAGACGAGCCTGTTCACGTGTTTCAAGCGTGACCGTTCTGTTGGGCGTGCAGTGCCCAGGACTCGAGCTGCTGGCTGGAGGAGCTCTGGACCACGAACGAGCTCCTCGAGCCAGGCCGCCAGACAGCGGAACTGATCAGCAGAGGGTCGCGAAAGGTGGGGATGTTTGGCGCAGTCTGCGTTGGCATTGCTTCGGCGGACACCTACGTTTCGACCGCAGCGGTTCATTTGGTAAGGCTTCGGGTTGCGCACAGACAGCCCCCCCAAAGGTAGTCCCAGCTGGCCTCAACAGGCACCCCCCGAGTAGTCCCAGCTGGCCTCAACAGGCCCCCCCCCCGAGTAATCCGGGGCGGTCTCAACACCCTGGCGCCGCCTCCAGCGGCGCCCTTGTGGCGCTCCGCGCCCCAGGCTTGGGGTGCTGAGACCGCCCCAGGCTACTCGGGGGGCCTGTTGAGATTAGCTGGGACTACTTTGTGGGGCTGTCTGTGCGCAACGCGAAGCCTTACCCGGCGGACACCTGCGTTTCGACCGCAGTGGTTCGTTTGCGCTCGGTCACGGTAGGGTCGACGCCAGCGAAACCATTGACTTGGTGATGGCGCACGATCTGAGATTCTCCATTCGGGTAAACTTGCTGGAATCGTTCGTTCAGCGCGTGCTTCCTCAGGCACTCGAGCCCTGCATCGAAGAAGATGGCACCGCGGAGGTCCGCACGGATTTCTCGGATCGGCGCTGGACCGCCCTCCCTGGTGCGCTCCGCGCGCCAGGGGCGGCGCGCCGCCAGGGGGGCCCGGCGCCGATTCAAGGAATCCGCACCGAGCTCTGAAAATCTATGTTTATGGCGTTTTCCCCATGTCGAAAGAAGGAGGAGGAGGAGGAGGAGGAGGAGGAGGAGGAGGAGGAGGAGGGTGAGGGGCCCCTTTCTCGAACGCTGCGAGCATCGATACTTAGAGCCTGGCCACCGTCAAAAAAGAAGCCCCTTTCTTCCTTGCCTCTTGGTGTTCGCTACCTCCCCCGCCGTTGGCCTGGAGGTTGGGCCACGATAGGGCGCCGCCCAGGACAGGGAGAGCCGTCCGCGGCCGTCCCCGAGATGCGTGAAAGCCGAACGGAGCTCCGAAGGTTTCATGTCAATGCCACGCTCGGCGTCACCCCAACATTATCATATTGTAGTGGCCTCCGGCCAGTGCCGCCGATCCGGGACGCTTCCGTTGCTGCCAGAAGTGCGCGATGGCGGTCATGACCGGCGACGCGGTGAAAATGAAGATGAGGATTGGGAGTGGAGGCGACGGGGTAGGATGAGGAGGAGGAGGCGGAGGAGGATCATGATGAGGTGGAGGTGGGCGGAGGGGGGAAGGGCAGGAGTAGCAAGATGCTATGTGTGTGCGCGCGCCGCCCCGCAAGGGGCGACGCGCGCACCGAGAAATCCTGTAGTCTATGCGTCGTGGCGGGCGCTCTCTGGCCACGCCGCTCGGGAAAGGATCTGCTGCAATATGGGCATACTAGATGTTCGGGTCGGACGCGCGCCTCCAAGGAGGACAGATCGTATTAGTACGTTTCGGCGCGTTCCGCATGCTGTCCTTCCTCCAGTGCATGCCCGAGGCCGTTCTCTTGCCGAGAGTTCGTCGGTGCCCTGCAGGGAGGAGCGGCGCCAACGGGAACGGGGGCGGGGGGGTTGGGCGCCGCTCGGACGTGTGCATTTTTCCCGCGGCGAAGACCATCGAGGAGCATCCTGGATCATCTGGCAGAAAACAACACGCACGACAGCGAAACATGCACGGGGAATGGACTTCCGAGCGATGGCAAGCTTGTGGCGAGCTCGTGGGTGCCCTGCAGGGGAGCGGTAGCAGGAGGAGCAAAGGGAGGGGGGGGAGCAGGAGGCGTGGCAGCATGCGGCAGCAGTTGCACGTGGAGAGAAGGGAACGGTGTGGCTCTGTCGCCTCCTTGTTTCTTTCCTCCCTTCGGGTGGTCGTTTCTACTCATCTTGGTTGTCGTTACTTCCCCTGCGGCCTCGTTTTCGTCACCCTTCGCGTCTTCATCGTCCCCCCATCGTCCTCCGCCCTCGTGGCAGCAGCGGCACGATATTCCATCGTAGGCACGTCCCGAACATCGCATGCCCGAGGCGCACCAGCAAATACGGGGAGGAGGGGAGGGGGCAGGTGGAGGTGGCGGTTCTGCAATGTTTGGTGTGTGTGTGTGTGTGTCTCTCTATATCTCTCTCTCTCTCTCCTTCTTTCTTTCTTTCTTTCTTTATTTCTTTATTTATATGCATATTTATATATATAGTATCTATATGTTTTTGTTTGTCTCTCTCTCTCTCTCTATGTTGTCTCTCTCTCTCTCTCTCTCTCAACACACACACACACACGCGCGCACACACACACGCACGCACGCACGCACGCACGCACGCACGCACGCACGCACGCACGCACGCACACACACACACACACACATACACACACATTCACACACACACACACATATATACATTTTTTGAGGTATGAGCAAGTGGGAAGGGGGAAGGACGCCGAACCGAAAACGTTCGGCTCGAGCGTCAGCCCACGCCTTTCCATGGAGCCGCTCCTGGAGGGAGGAGCCTGCGAGATTCCTCGGGGGCTCGGGATGGGCGCGGCGGTCTGCGCCTCGGGGCATGCCTGCGCCCCCTGCCGTGGCGACTGCCGGGCGTGCAGCTGGGCGGTCACCGGGCCTGCTTGCCCGACGGCCCTCTGCGGCAGCAGCTGCACGGGCGGGCCCGTCGCGTTCCCGCTCCTGCCCATGGGGCTGGGCGCAGCACTGGCCTGCCTGCCAAACGCCTGACGCCGGGCCCGGGGGCCGACGCCGGCGCCGAGGGCGCTGGGGCTGGCCTTGCCGCCACCCTGCGCAGCGGCGCTCCGCTCCGCGACCCTCGGGCAGCCGAGGCAGAGTCGAGCGCGACGCAGCGACGGAGTGAGGAGTGGCAGCGAACGGCCTGGTGACAGCAGGCTTGGCGGGAGGCGTCTTTCGCCTCGTGAGGCTCGCTGTGGCGGGCCCAGTGCTGTGGCACGAGGGGCTCTGCGTCTACCTCCCGCCGCTGGCGGGTGGAACCGTGACGTGCCTCACCCCCGATGACGACAGCTACGTGGATAATCTCGCCCCCGAGCGGCGACGTGGCTGCCAGGTGCTTCCTGCCGAGGAGCGCCCAGCGTGGTGCTGCGCCCGCTGCTGTTGCAGGCGCGGCGGCCCGCGCGTGTCGTGTCCGAGCGATGCCCCTCGCTGCAGAAGCGGGGGGCGCCCGGGGCGCCAGGGCGGCCCGACTCGGCCCCGCCGCGCCTGGGCAGCCGGCGCCGAACACGGGGGGCCGCGCAGGGGCCCAGGCCGCTGGCCTGGGCGTCGCGGGTGCGGCGCCGCCTGCGGCCGCCGCCTGGGCGCCGCGTGCCGCCGCCGCCCTGCCACCCGCCGCGGTGGCCGCGCCGCCCGCTGGCGCGGCGGCCTGGGTCGATGGTGGCCGTGGCGCCCTCGCGGCCGTGCTGGGGCCGGCTGGTGGCGCCTTGGCGCCAGGTGCTGGGCCGGGCGGAGGGCTCGTCGGCGCCCCCCGCCGTGGCGCCGCGTTCGCCTGCGGCCCCCG